GTTAACCCACAAAAAATTGAAAAGAAATTGAAAGATATGTGACCAGACAAGAATTTCATTTGTGTTTCAGAAATCTCAGAGATGTTGGCGCGCATGCTATTGGGCCCTGAACGGTGCTGATTTTACACTGTTTTCAATGGGGCTTGAATTAGTGGACAGGACCCATAATGTAGAGTGTACAATATGGCAGCTGCATGTCGAACCCCCAATCGGTGAGTCTGTTAGTTACTGTGTTATTTCACCATAAACCGACCATAAGTATTGTGACGTCGCACCCCTTCAGTGGGAGCAGGAGCTGCGAGGGCGCTGTCTTCTTCAGGTGTGCGACGCGGACGGCACGACCGGATCTTCACTGAGCGGCTAGAGACGCGTCTGTTGGGATGGAAGTATACCGTCCCGGTATTGGTTTTTAGGTGTACATGGGGTACTCTATTAGCTGTGTTTGCTAATAACTGTGGTGAGTGATTTCTAATGTCGAATAACTACTGGAATGGAGTCTACAAGAATCCGATAATTATGTATGGTTTAATATCAAGCTAGAGACGTGTCCATAAATCTCAACAAAGAGCTAATAATTTCATAACTACAACGAATGAGAATATGAAAGTTACATCAATAGAAAAACGGAACATACGACCTTTCAGATGCCACCAAGATTTGGAGATTTGAACAATTTTCAGGTCTTTTATGAGGCGATATATCTCGCCAACGTTCGATCAAACACGACCTGTAATGTCCAGACGAAGCTGGAATTCCAAAAAATAGCAATCAGCAAAACCAGAACCCCTGCTTTCTTTTGCTAACGATTTCATACTTAAAACAAATATGAATGTGAAACTTACATCAATGGAAAGAGGAACATACGACCTTTCAGATGCCACCTAGATTTTTAGATTTGGACAATTTGCAGGTCTTTTATGAGGCGATAAATGTGGCCAACGTTCAAAGGGAGCACAACCTGTAATGTGCAGAAAGACTGGGAAATCAAGAAAAATAGCAAGCAGCAAAGCAAGAACCTATACCTTCTTTTGCTCATAATTTCATAACTACAATGAATATGAATATGAAACTTACATCACTAAAACAAAAAACATACGACCTTTCAGATGCCACCAACATTTGGAGATTGGAACAATTTTCAGTTCTTTTATGAGGCGATATATGTTGCCCACGTTCAAAGGGAGCACAACCTGTAATGTGCAGACAGAAGGGGAATCCAGAAAAATAGCAAGCAGCAAAGCAAGAACCTATACCTTCTTTTGTTCACAATTTCATAACTAAAACGAATATGAATATGAAACTGACATCAATAGAAAGACAAACATACGATCTTTTAGATGCCATCAGGATTTAAAAATTTGAACAATTTTCAGTTCTTTCATGAGGCGATATATCTGGCCAACGTTCGACCAAACACGACCGGTAATGTCCAGACGAAGCGGGAATTCCAAAAAATGGCAATCAGCAAAACCAGAACCCTGCCTTCTTTTGCTAATGATTTCATACCTAAAACGAATATGAATATGAAACTTACATCAAAAA